ATAGTTCAACAAGAACAACTTTATGCTAAATTTAAAAAGTGCACATTTTGCATAAAAAAATTGTTTTTCTTAGTTATGTCGTTAGTGCTAAGGGTAAATAAGTGGATGAAGAAAACATCAAGGCCATCAAGGAGTGGCAAACACCTAAAAGCATAACCGATGTAAGAAGCTTTCATGGATTAGCTAGCCTACAAACCACTCACAGAGATTATAAAGAAAAGTGCAGGATTTCATGCTTTTTTTTTTTTTTGATCGGCAGATTTCATGCTTTTAATACTATTAAAGATAGGTTGTGTAGAATACCCTTTTTATCATTACCTAACTATAACAATACTTTTGAGATTGAATGTGATGCCTCAGGAATCGGTATTGAAGTTGTCTTAATGCTGGAACGAAGGCCAATCGCTTACTTTAATGAAAAGCTAAGTAGAGCAACTCTCAATTATCTTACACATGACAAGGAGTTGTACGCACTTGTTCGAACTTTGAAGACATGACAACACTACTATGTCCAAAGGAATTCGTAATTCACACCGGTCATGAGTCATTGAAGCATTTAAGGGGTCAAGTCAAGCTAAACAAGAGACATGCAAGGTAGATGGATTTCATTGCGACATTTTCAAATGTTATTCGGTACAAACAATGTAAAGAAAATGTTTGTAGCATATGCTTTATCAAGGAGGTACGTACTTCTAACGTCTTTAGGTTCTAAATTGTTAGGGTTTGAATATGTTAAGGACATGTATGCTAATGATCCAAATTTTTCTAATAAATACGAATCATGTGATAAGGGTGCTGTGAATAGATTCTTTAGGCATGGTGAATATTTATTTGGGGAACATAAGTTATGTGTTCCTAATGTTTAATGAGAGAATTATTAGTACGTGAGGCACATAGTGGAGGTCTAATGGGTCATTTTGGGTTTAAGAAGACCTTATAGATGAGATGCTAAGTGAAAAATTTATAGGCCTAAGTGAAAGTAGATGTTGATTGGGTTTGTAGTATACGCACCACTTGTAATAAGGCGAAAGCCAAGGTTTTACCTCAGAGTTTATATACGCCATTACCTGTTCCTATTGAACCTTTGGTTGATGTGTCTACGGATTTTGTGTTGGGTTTACCTAGGACTAAGATAGGAAGATATTCCAAATTTGTGGTGGCAGATAGATTTAGTAAGATAGTACATTTCATTCCATGTCATTAAATCGATGATGCCATTAGTATTGCGGATCTATTCTTTAAGGAATTAGTGTGCTTACATGAGATTCCTAGAAGCATGTATCGGATAGAGATGTTAAATTCCTTAATCACTTTTGGAGGATTTTGTAGAATAAGTTAGGGACCAAGCTATTGTTCTCCACAACTTGTCACCCACAAACTGATAGATAAATTGAGATAGTTAATAGGACTATGATACAATTGTTCGCACAATAGTTAATAAGAATTTGAAGAGTTGGAAGAGTATTTACCATTTATAGAATTTGCATATAATAGAGCCACACATTCTACTAGTTTTTACCCACCTTTTGAAATTGTACATGGTTTTAATCAACTAATATCTTTGGATTTAATTTCTTTATCTGCGAATGAAAGAGGTAGTTTCGATGGAAAGAATAAGGCCGAATTGGTAAAATCACTCAATGAAAAGAAGATGATCTAAATTGAGAAGAAAAATAAGTATTATGCTTCTTAAGCATACAAGGGACAAAAACGCGTTACATTTGAACCAGGAAACTGGGTTTGGGTGCACTTGAGGAAAGAGCATTTTCCAGAACAAAGAAAGTCCAAGTTACAGCCACATGGGAGATGGTCTATTCCAAATCCTCGAAGAGATCAATGACAATGCCTACTAATTAGATCTTCTAGGTGAGTAAATGTTTCAGCTACTTTTAACGTCTCTAATCTTTCTCTCTTTGATGAAGGTACAGATTCGAGGTCGAATCCTTTCGAATAAGGAGGCGATGATGTGATCCATTATACAAGGGCAAGTCCACGTAATAATCCATCGATCTTTGAGGGAGGACCGATGATTAGGTCACGAGCGAAGCGAGTCAAGAAAGCTATGAGATTGCTTGCTCAAGTTACTGTGGATGAAACGTTGATCACAACAAGCAAATGAATGAGTTTTATGTTGGGTTTGGAAAAAGAAATAAGATGGATCAACTCGATACAAACAGCGGACGAGAAAGCCGAACAAAGTAACTATGTGATTGCATAGTTACCTCGCTTGCCCCTTTACCAAGACTGTAAAGGAGGGAAACAAGTGATCTATACGACCGCACAGATTTACACTATGCGGCTATACACTATGCCGCTGCATAGTGTATGTTTGGACGCAATTTTTTCAATTTTTGCGTAATCTTCTATTTTAGTTAAAACTCTTGTATGGTATATTTTTGATATCTTTAAGGCATAAATTCAGTTTTTTAGCTAGGTTTTATGGGTTCCCTATAAACAGGACTCATTCTATTCATTGTAAAACACGCAATTATTGAGAGATTATTGCGAGACAAACTTGCTTTCTTCTCGTTCTTCATTAAATTAATTTCGAACTTATCAAGAATTAAATTCTTGTAGTGTTCTACAAATTGAAGTAAGGGTCATGAGTTTTGTGATCATGGGTCAAGATATTGTTAGCGATTGTCTTGGTTCTTGGTTCAATAATTTATTGGGTAGAGTTTTTCAAACGTTGATTTTTGGCTTTGTTGGGTTGTTCTAATTTGTCGTGGGTTTCGCAACTACAATTGCTATGTGGGTTCGCATCAAGAGAGGTTTCTCCTCACCCCTGTGCTCATATTAGTGGACATAAAAACAAAAGGACGAGAAATTTGTAAAAATAGTATCGTGTTTTTTAAAATGGGTAAATGTTGTTTTTTGTGTAAGGGGTCTCGGTTTCACTTTAAACTTTATCATTATTTTGAAAACGTTTAAAACAATTAAAAAGAGCTAAGATGTTGTGTTCCACTATCTTGTATTGATGAATTTAATAGAATTTGAGGTAGCAAGTTGACGAATTTAATAGAATTTGAGAGAATGAATTGATAGTATACAAATACTCAATTATGTGCCGATGTATCAACTTCTAAATAATAACTTTGGATTGAGAATGGTTTCTAAATATAAAATAAATGTCTTTTCATAAATTATAGGTCCATACGAGAGGACATAATGACAAACAGACGTGAATTTGGTGAAAAGTGTACCTTGTCGTTTATAAATTATAACCGTCATTTTTGTGCACAGGTCGTGATTTCACTCCATACATCCTTGCTTATAGTTGAAAATATTAAAACAATTAAGTAGAGCTAAGAATGTTCACTATCTTTTATTGATAATAGAATTTAAGTCAATTTCGTTACTATAAGGAACCTCAATCGCATGTCCTTGCATGACCTCTAAGTAACAACATTAGAAGGGGCCTGATTTCTAAATGTAGCCGGAATGTATTTTCATTAATTCTTGCCTCGTATGAGTAGACAAGAAGAAAAATAGATGTGAAATTCGTGAAATCAACACCGTGTCATTTAAAATGGATACGTATCGTTTTGTGCACTGGGTTACAATTTTTGTAACATTTTCTATTATCTTTGAAAGCACTTGAACAATTTAAAAGAGCTAAGATATTGCATTTCACCATCTTTCTCGTTTAAAAAGATAACATATTATGTTTGGAGTGAAATTGAGACTTCATGCATAAAAATGACGGTTACAATTTTTATGCAACAAGGTGTCATTATCATCAATCTCACGTCCCTTAGTCTTTATGTCCGCCTGAATCACTCTAGAATCTATATTTTTAAAATGTTATTCCCAGATTTCAAATTTTACATTGTTCATGAAGAACTCGTTTGTCTAGAACTTGAGCTACATTTGTTTAGGGTACAAAAAGAATTTAGACAAACAAGGAATTTAATGTAATTCAGTCCATATATATGTATATACAGGCCATCAGGAAGCCATCGTTGGACGCTGGACTCTCAGATATATGCATTGGCAAATCTGTGGCTCCAACTTATCTTCCTGCATGTTATTTCAAGAACCAATATAAACAAGGGGATGTGCAAGAGTTCAACCTTGTAGACGGTGGTGTTGCTGCCAATAATCCGGTAAACTAATTATAATTAATATTATCGTACAATATACACACAGACGTGTACATACACACATACAAATATATACTCGTACATACAGAACAATACCATTGAATTTTATATATTAAAATAAATGAAATGAATATGTACATACTTTGTTTGACAATTTCAATAAATTATGGAAATCCATTCAATACTCTAGTCATTTTCAAAATTTCATAATATGTATATCATGGATTATATAATGGATTACATAATAACACATGACATTCTACCATTTGTCAATTTAAAATGCAGTCAATCAACTTTTTCATCCTTCTTCCACGTCATATTATGTAACTCGTTATGTACAAGTAACAAAATTCATAAATAAAAGCAGCACATTAGTAAATTGTGCCACACGTTCGAGTCCCCCTTTTTTTTGTATAAAATGCATTTTGGAATAATAGATTGACAGAGAATGTGTAGTTAAAAATTAAGAAAAGATTTTGGATTTATATGTAATATTATTTAATTGAAGAATGAGTGATTGAAATGAAGAGAGGGAAAAATGTATTTTGAAAAAAAAATGAGGATCAAACAATGACAAATAAAGATTATCGAGAGTGATATCTCACATCAATTAAATAGAAAACAAAATAGGGTCAAATCTACTAATGACCATCCAACTTTATACTTAGTATCATCATGACTATCTAATTTGATTTTATTTCACCATGATCACTCAACTTTATATTTAGGGTCACCATAGCCATCCAATTTAATTTTATTTCTCCATGATCATCCAATTTTATATAACATTTCACAATGACCACCTAATTTCATATGACATTTCATCATGGCCACCCAATTTCTTTTTCAACATTTTTACTAATTTTAAAAAGGATAAAACGATAATTTTGTATTTTATATATATATTTTTAAAAAAATAATTTTTTTTAATTTCAAAAACGTTCATTTTAAAAAAGTTTTATTTTATTTTAAAAACATTTTTAAATAATTTTTTTATTTTATTTTAAAAACTTTTTTTAAATAAGTTTTTATTTTATTTTTCAAAGTAACATTTTTTTAAAAATAAGTTTTTATTTCATTTTATTTAAGTAACTTTTTTTGTATTTATTTTAATTTATTATATATATAATGTGAAATTGTCATTTTACCCCTTTTAAAATTAATGAAAATGATGAAAAGAAGTTGAGTGGCCATGGTGAAATCTTATATGAAATTATGTGATCACGATGAAATGTTATATAAAATTGGACGGCCATAATTAAATAAAATCAAATTGGGTGATCATGACGATACCAAGTATAAAATTGGATGACCATGGTAAAACACTAACATTTACAAAATTTTATGTTTTCTTTTATCAGCAAATATATTACACTTAAATCTAACAGAGTTCATTCAGAAATAAATCGTTCGTTAAATACGAACATTGTTTTTTGAATTTTATAGAAATTAAAGTTGTTCGTGAAATTCAAATAAATCTATTTGTTGAGCACTTCTGGTAAATTAATGAACCAATATGAGGCAAAACGCTTTCAACTCTGTTTCTATTCTTTTCACAAGAACTATTTTGTTTGTTGAAATTTCTCTTTCTTTTACTCATAAAAACAAGAATGTTAAAATCTTATCTTTTCTCAAACCCTATATTTATGCAGGCATTAGTTGCCATCAACCAAATTACGAAACAGATTTTGGATGGAAACCCAGATTTCTTCCCAATTAAGCCTATGGATTATGGACGCTTTTTAGTCATCTCAGTGGGCACTGGCTCGTCAAAGGCACAGCAGAAATACAGTGCTCAAAAGGCAGCCAAATGGGGAGATTTAGGATGGTAGTGATAGAAAATGGAAAAGGAATAATCAAACTACATACATAATTCAAATCCTTTTCAC